TCGTATTCTAATTCTACTATTTTTTGGTGTATTCCCTTAAAAAATTCCTGTTGACTTTGGTTGGGGGCATATATTACTACTAATAATATTTTCCTGTTTTCTAGTACTAACTCAACCATCACCGTTCTGCCTTCCTCGTCTGCATATAATAATTTCGAATCTATCCTTTCTTTTAAACCGCTACTCCTCTTTTCTTTTTTTGAATCAGAGATGTATATAATTTTCCTAGTTTTGGATTTTCTAATATTTTTTGGTACCCTTTTGTAATGTGTGCTTCCTGAAGGAATATCACGTCTACTCCTAATTTTCATAATTTTGTAAATGTTTGAGATCTTTTCTTCAGTGTGTTTAGTCTGTTTATATTTACAGAGAAAATTGCCTCTTCCATTGCCTAGTGTAGTTGTTTTTTGGTATATCTTGTTTCCATCTGTGATTTTGTTTTTGCACCTTCTCTTTCCTCCCTTTTTTTCTCTTGGCTTTTTCTTACTTCTTTCTCTTGCACCACTTCTATTTGCTCCTCTTCCTGACTTCTACTTTCTGTTTCTTCTTTACTTTCCTGTTCCTCCTCCTGGTTGAAGTGCACGTTGTAAAATTCCCTTACTTTTTCTGGTGTGTCTATTTTATATTTTTTGTCTTCCCAGGTAACCAAGATCCCTTCCGGAGTTAACCATCTAACATTATTTTATATCTGTTCAGTTGAGTTGTTAAAAACTGGTATTGTTGACGTTGGTTTCTGATTCTTTGGGGTATTTCTTTTAGGATCGTGATTTCTTTTCCTTTATATGTCAGCGTTTCTTCCCTAGACTTTCTGTATACCTCATCTCTAATTGATCGTTTTGAGAATCTAACATGCACTTCCCTCTCCAGGCGGCGCCTTCTTATATAATTTGTATGTACACAATATATTTCATCCAATTGTCCTTTTATTTCTAGTTTGTCTTTTTTTATTATTTCTGACACTATCTCCGCCATTTTTTCTCCCAAGTCTTCATCTTTTTCTTCTATTATGTTTTGAAAACGGAGAAAATATGAAGCTTTCTCCATCTCGAGCATTGTTATTGAATCAGACAATTCCTTATTTAATTGAAAAGCTTTTTGCTCTATTGCCTCTACTTTTGTCTCTACTTGGTCTATTTTTGTTTCTGCTTTTCTGATTCTTTGTTCGTTTTCTGTTATTGATTGTTAGATATCTCCAATTTTGTCATTCATATTTTTAATATCCTCCCTAACTTCTCCAATTTCATTTTTAATCTCTATGTGAAATGTTCTCATTTCTTCATGGTTTTCTGCCATTTTTTCTTGTGTTTTTAATAGTGTTTCCTGGATCATTGAAAACATGCTCTGCATGGCATTTAGTGTCAGTTCTGGTTTTTCTTTCTCCTTTTCTTTTCCTACCATGCTATCTAATGTTTTTTGTTGTAGTGGTGATGCCACCATTGCTGTGGTATTTACAGCTGGTTTTTTTCCCTGTTTTCATTATGATAGATATTGTTGACATTTTTAATGCTCGTGTAAAACTTTCCCACACTAACATATAATTCTTAATCGCTAATTTTCCTTCCTCTGTATCCACACACCTTTGTTACTTCTATCAATATAGACTTTCCACACTTTAATCACACTATCATTAATTATTAATCACTCAATAATACTTAGTTATTATTTTGCAAGTTTTCACTTCTTACTTTACAATATTTTCAATCAATCTAAGTTATAATTCATTCACCTTCCCCTTTTTCAAATTTTATGAATTCACAATACCATATATATTTCTAAGTTATAATATAGTTTCCGTTTCCCCCCCCCTATGTTTTTCATTACTTTACTAACTGTATAATATATAAAAATGCAATTTTTTAAATATAAGAGTAAGAAAAAAGTTTTTTTTTTTCCTTTCCTTAGTAGTACTTAACGTTTCTTCTCTGGTCCCATCTGTGGCTGTAAATGTAATTGTTTCCTGTAGTCCATTCATATCAGTCTTTCTTCCCCCCGAATCTTAGTCTTTCTGTCTAAAGTCGCTGCTGTCGTCAATCTCTTTTTAAGTCCCACAGGCACTTCAAAAATCCTTTAGGTTCTTCTTAGCCCTCGGTGTTATTTAGGTTGTACAGTTTATCTCCTTCTCTGGCTCTCTCCTTCTCCACCTCCGTCTCGGGGTCCTAAGGTTATCAGTCCTCCAATATTGCCTAGTCACTCTGTAGGTTTCTTCTTCCTCACGCTGTTGTTCTTTACCTCCTATTGCACTTCTCTTTTAATCTGCCACCGCTAAATAGTCCGTCAGTTTTGCGCCCACCTCAGTCCGCGCTTCTCAGTATTATTCGTGTATTCCATCTGGGGCTCCTTCGCTCGACCACTTGAAACTGCTATTCCACTCTTGGCTTCACTCTAGGCGGCGCCATCACTCCTATCCGCCCTGAAGGCCGACTTCCTCTCCACCAGCTTAAAGAGGTTCGTCCTGTATCCCCTCCGATGCTAGCGCAATGCCCTGGGGCTTCAAGACTTCCCCTTTTATTTCCCGATCTCTACAGGATTGGGAGTGCTCTCAAAGAGCTTCTAATAGAGAGTTTTTTGGGTTCCAGAAACGGCAGCCCCGTTTCCTCACCCCCTTCACGATGATGTCATCCCCGGAAGTCCCTATTGACCACTTTTTCATCTGTCTTCAGCAGCTGTTGTTCCATCCTTAAAACTGTTTGGAAAATCGTTTGTATCGGTAAATCTTTCTCTTTTTCTCTTTCTTTATCTTGCTGCAGCATTGTCTGGATGGATCATTGTCCTCCGGATGGTTACGAAGAAGGTGTAGTTGCAGCCGATCCCACAGTCGCAATTTTCCTACTCATTTTATTCCAAAATAAGAAAAAAGAAAGAAAAAAAAAAGAAAAAGGGAAAATTTAAAAAATTTATCCAATTTTAAAAAAGGAAAAGGGAGAAGCAAAAAAATTTTTAAAAAGAGAAAAAAGACAGATAAAATACTACCATTCTTCAGGTTCTTCTAAACCCTAATCCAATAGCTATAGGAAAGTCAACAATAATAAAAATAAATCTTCAGGCTCTTGATTCCCTTAATCCAATTTTATATGGTCTCAGGCTGAGGTGAGAAGCCACAAAAAAGAAAGAAAGAGATAAAAAAAAGAAAGGTCCATCAAATATAATTGTATCCAGAAAGCAGACAGAGAGTTATCTTTTAAGCAAGCCACAACAATAGAGAGAAAAGCAAAAAATCTTCTATAGTATTTCCAGACTCTTACTTCAGCTAAATCCAACAAGAATACCTGTGAAAACAATACAGATAGTTCCACTTCCAGGGCCAATTCTGAAAGTTTGCTGACAGGGAGAAAAGGAATACTTGTGAATCACTTGCAGCACCTTGATATACTTTCTGCAACCTTTTCATGTAAGCTTTACTATTAAGAATCCATCATCTCTATTTTTTACTTGTAATTCTTGAAGGGATACATTTTCAAAATTGAATTTTAAAAACTCTTCTAACAAGTCATATCAAGTATACATTGTTAGTCACCTCTATAACATTATGTCCCACATATTTCAGAAGCAAAAAAAAAAATAGTTTTGACTCTTCTTCCACTAAATCAGTAGGAAGCACAATGACTCAGTGGCTTAAAGAAGCTGGAGGTGGTCTTTGCTCCAGCAGTTCAAGTCCTAGCACTGAGTGAGTGAGCTCCTGTCATTTGCCAACCTACCAGTCCAAAAGCATACCACATGTAAATACATAAATAGATACTACTTTGATGAGAAATAATTGCATTTTGTAGGATAGTGTGCCACTCCTCCAATGTGATGTCCAAGCATAAGGCAACTGGTGGAGGAAGAAGACTTGGATGATGCTGCAGAATGCTGTTGAACTTTTCTGAGTGTGGAGCTAGTCCACCCCCTGTGGTGCTAATGTAACATTATCATGTACTAAATAAATATCCTATTAATTGTACACCTGAGAGATCAAAGAGGCTTTTGTGAAGTTGCAAATTTATTTCCTAGATCCCTTCTGCATCATGAAATTAAATGCTGTAAAATTGTCACCTTTTAAACAGAAGATGGCAGCATTCTGTAGCTTTGCAGTTGTCTCATCCTGAAAATAAGCCATTTTGCCTTTCAAAACTTAAATTTTGTCTCTTTTAAAAGCTTATAGGAATATCAAAACTGTATTTCCTTAGCTATGCCCTAGATCTTTCAAAGCAATGAATTGAGCATTTTTAAAAACACCCATGTATTTTATGAGCTCAATACAGCTTTAGAAGATTCTAATCAGAAAACCTTCCAGAGTTGTGGATTTCAAGTGATAGATACTCAGCAAGCAAAATCCATGCTGAGAAATTGGAGAATGAAGTGATTCATCCATTTGGAGGGTGCCAAGTTATGAAGGGGTGCTTTAGACGTACATTTCTTAAAAGAGCTGCTTCAAATATCGTATGAAAAACATGCTATAGAAGCAAAGAACTTCAAAAGGAATCAGAAATTACAAAATGGGAGTAAGGAATTTATAGTCACCCCTACCCCTTCCTGTGACACTACTACATTCTACCACATCTGATGAAATCAGATCTGATTATACTAAATAGGAATTCCTAGCAACAAACTAAAAAGGACTTTAACGATTAAGTGATAGTTGCAATAAAAAAGGAAAAACAACTTGAATAATTACTACTACATCTTCTCCCAGAAGTAAAGGGAGGAGTTTTGCCTCTTTTGTAAGGTAAGGGTAGTAAAAATTGTACAAGGAGACTATTAGCAGTATCCCAGTTCTTCCTCACCTCAGGGAAGATAGCTACTGCAAAATTGGTTATGTAGTATGTACCAAATTATGGTAGATTAAATTCAGTATATAAACCAAGTCTATAAATTTCAGAGGGGACAACAACATACGTGGCCCTTGGGATTCCCCAGATATGTCATACAGTAACCTGCTGACTGGATATCATCAGCTATTTGCTACCACAATTAATTTTATATTGAAATGTACAAATTAATGAGACTGTTACTTACAATAGTGATTTTTCCATATTGAATCATTTATAACAGTATAGTGTACATAAATCAAATTCACAGACAACACCTGACTTCCGGTGCAGCTGTCAGGGCGGAAAGATCATTGTTGCATTAGCTCCGCAGCGACGAGCGTTTTTCCAGATCCTCCATGGCTTTTTTTTGCCGTTCTCAGCCCCGGAGAGGTTGGGAGAGGGGCTTTCTTTGGAGGCGAGGAGGGGGAGTGTGACCCCTTCGCCGCAACGAAGTGTGAGCTCCAAGGATCCGGCGGACAGGAAGAGGGCCGCGGAAACAGCATCCCCAAAGCCAATGACACTGCGTTTCTTTTTGACTGGTACGGGGAGACAGGACAGAACGAGATAGGGAAGACATAAGAAAGAGATTGATTTAAGAATTAAAGGGACGGTACAGCAATTGGAGATAACAGCGGCAGCTGAGATTACAAGTGAAGGAAGCTTTTTCTCACTAACTTTTCGATCATCTCGCTGCTGTGGATTTGGAAGGAAACGGAAGTATGAACTAAGTGGCGTATTGAATTACAACGAATAAAAGAACAATAAATTTGGATTTACCAACTGTATGAAGTGGATGATGACCAGGGGGTGATTCTTCTCCTGAATCCCCTTCCTCCCAGGAGCCTTAATAGTGAGCCCTTTCCGGTGTAACTTAACCACCCTAATGAACTGAATTAATTAAAGTGAGACTGGAGATTAACATCCTCTGAAGAGTTAATTAATAATTGATATATGCTCTTTCAATATCTTTAATATTTATTAATTGTATATAGTGATTATTGAGTATTGATTAATTGATTTATTATTTACCTTTTTGCTTGCTTTTCTTTTATTGTGATTTACTATTTAGTATCATATATATACATTTAGATTGTATTTAATTGTGGATACATAAGTTAAATTAGAATCGATTAATAACTATATAGAATTGTGATTGAACAATAGTAAGAGTTTAGTTAAAGGAGAATATCAATTCAAGTAATTTAAATAATATCTGTGCATGATAATTTGGAAAAACCTTCTTTGCCTAGTCAATATGTCCACCACAGTGACTTCTACAAAAGTGGCGAAGAAACAGATAGCCTCTACTGTGGCATTGTCTCCGATAACAACGCCTCCAGGATTAAGGAAATCATCAGAAAATTTACCAATAGCAGAAAAACCAGTCATGATGCAAGGAATGTAGGCGATGTTTCAAAACATCCAAGAAATAATGGAAAAAAATCAAGAAGCAATTTCTAAAAACTTTGATGATCTGAAGATAAGTGGATTAAGAGGAGAAATTGTACAAATAAAAGAGACCTTGGGGGAAATGAGAACAACTATTTCAGAACATAAGGAGCGATTGATAGAGGTGGAAAAAACTACAGAAAAAGTTGAAACCCAGATTGATAAATGCGAAAGGAAATGTGCACAAGCGGTGGGGAAACTTGAGGACGAAGTAGTCTTCTTAGAGATGGAGAAATCCGCCTTTTTCTTAGGTCTCCAAAACATGGTCGAGGACAAAGAGGAACAACTGGATGAAATTGTGGGTGAAGTGATTGCAGAGGTAGTGGGGAGGGAAAAAGAAGAGATCTGTGGTGATATTGATGAAGCATATCGTGTTTATACCAATTATGCGAGACGTCATAACCTGCCCGGAGAAATATATGTGAGGCTAACCAAAAAGGCGTTAAGAGATGAAACTCTCCACAAAGCCAGGGATCAGAGTGTTTCATACAAAGGACATCAGATTACAATTCTGAAACAGATCCCTAGAAGAGTGAGAGAGCAGAGACATAATCACCAATTCATAACTACACAACTGAGGAAACACAATGTGCCGGACAGGTGGTTATTACCAAAAGGACTTTTGGTGACATGGCAAGAGCGGAAAATTAAAATTGAGAACTTACATGATGCACAGGAATTTTGCGAATTTTTTTTTGAATCTGATGAAAGTGAAAGAGACAAAGAAGTAGTCAAAGAGAGTCAGAAGATCAGAAAGAGGAGTGGAAAAATGAGAGAGGAGCACAAGCATACTACGGAAAGGGGAAATGAAATGGGAGGAAGGGGGAAGAAGGAGGAGTAGAAGAATACGGAGTAGAAACTAGATTAGCAGCTAAAACCAAAGGGATTAATAGAGAGAAATTAACCAAGGAGTGAGATTACTGATGGTGAACGTCAATGGTCTCAATGCCCTGACCAAAAGAAGACGTATTTTAGCTAAAATTACTAAAACCAAAGCGGATATAACATGTTTACAAGAGACTCATATTAAACTGTCACAAACAAATTTATTGAAATGCCCCAAAGCAGGGAAATTATTTGTAGCTGCTTCAGAGGAGAGAAAAAGAGGAGTAGCAATATTTGTAAAAGAATATCTCTCGCCGAAACAAATATTTGCAGATGAAGAGGGAAGGATGCTAATATTGGAAGAGGAATTATTGCAAAATAAGATTTTATTGATTGGAATTTACGCCCCCAATACTAAACAAACTTTATTCTTCCGAAGATTATGAAGAGAAATTCGAGAATTGGAATACGAGCAAGTATGTCTCATGGGTGACTTCAATGCAATTAGCAATAGGATTCAGGATTATAAAAAAAGAGAAAATTCCCCAAAAAGAAATAGAGGACAAGATAAAAGGATTCTTCCAGCCATTTGTGAGGGAATGAGAGACGAATTAGGACTGAAAGATACGTGGCGTGAGCATAACCGGAATGTAGAGCAATTCACTTATTACTCTCCCAGACACAAATCGTGGTCCAGACTGGACATGATCTGGATGACACAAGAACTTAATTCCCAAGTAGAAGAAATTAGAATTCTACCGAATGATTGGGCGGACCATAATCCGGTACTAGCTGTATTAAAAAAAGAGGGGAAAAATAGAAGAAGGTGGATGATGAGATCAGAGATTTTAAAGGAAATTGAATTTACACAAAAACTTAAGACAGAAATAACCCTGTTCTTTCAAGAGAATAAAACACGGGGAATGCCACTTCAAACAATTTGGGATGCTGCTAAAGCCTTTATAAGAGGTCTTATTATAAAACATATGGCCATAAAACACAAAAAAGAAGAACAGGAAAGGGGTGATCTAATAAATAAACTAAAAAAGGTGGAGGAACAGCTACAAGATAACCCACTAGCTAGAGAGGCGAAAGAACAGATAATACTGTTAAAACATCAGCTTAATCTTTTAGAATTGGATAAATTGAAAGATAAGATAAAAGCTGCAAAGCAAAAACATTTTGAATCAGCTAATAAACTAGGAAGATGGCTTACATATAGACTTTAAAAAGAAAAACAGAATAGACGAATTGATCAGTTAGAATTCTAACAGCTAGTTAGAAGATAAGGAGGGAAACTTAATAAGAGATAAAGGAGGAAAGGAAAGAATTGCAGTGGATTTCTATAAAGAATTATACAAAAAAGAAGAAATTTTAACAGAGGTGACAAAAAATTACATTGAGAATTCAGATTTACCTAAAATACCCAATTTAACAAAAGAAATATTAGAAGAGGAAATTACCTTAACTGAAATTGAAAGAGCAGTGAAGAAACAAGGGAATCTGAAAACACCAGGTACAGATGGACTCCCCGCGGAGCTATATAAAACAATGTTTGAGGTAATGGGAGAGCATATGAAAGACTTATTTAATGAAGTCCTGGGGAAAGCAGAAATTCCACATTCATGGAGAGAGGCTAATATTAGCCTAATTCCAAAAGAAGATCCCCCCTCGACAGATATAAAAAATTATAGACCAATATCTCTCCTGAACTCTGATTATAAAATCTTCACAACAATTTTAGCAAATAGATTAAAAGGTTTCTTGAATGAATTTATACACATCAACCAAAATGGATTTTTACCATCACGCCAATTACGAGACAATCTGAGAATCATGTTAAATATATTGGAATATTACGAAGATCATCCCGGTAAACAGGTCACACTAGTTTTCATAGATGCCCAGAAGGCTTTTGATAGGGTCAACTGGGAGTTTATATTATTACAGCTAGAATATATGGGTTTTGGACAGAGATTTCCAAACACAATTAAAGCGATCTATTCCAAACAAACGGCCAGACTATTGATAAATGGGGATTTGACAGAAGAATTTTCTATTAGTAAAGGCACAAGACAGGGTTGTCCCCTATCCCCTTTATTATTTATTTTATCACTAGAAACCCTACTATGAAAAATAAGGAATGAGGAAAGAATAAAAGGCCTCAGAATTGGACAACAAGTATACAAAACCCAGGCTTTTGCGGACGATATGGTTTTCATTTTAGAAGACCCTACAAAATCCGGCCCATACTTATTAGAATTGATTGAGGAATTTGGAGCAGTCGCAGGATTACTGATTAATAAAAAACAAAAACAAATTTATTAACGAAAAATATTTTAGAGGAAGATAAGAGGAGTTTACAGGAAGTGACTGGATTGAAAGTAGTTAACAAAGTTAAATACCTGGGAATTTGGTTATCTGGCAGATGCTCGAGTATACAAGAAGACAACTATAATAAATTATTAATTCAAATAAGGAAAGATTTAGATAAATGGGATAAAATTCAACTTTCACTTCTGGGACGAGTAACAACAGTTAAATCCTATATTCTACCGAAATTTAATTTCTTATTTCAAATGGCTCCAGTGAACCTATCCAAAAAAGTTTTTATGGAATTGAATCAAATAATAACTAAATTTGTTTGGCAGGGGAAAAAGCCTCAGATTAAAAGAAAGATGATGCAGGAGATAAAAGAAAGAGGGGGCCTGGGCTTACCTTGTTGGGAGAATTATTATTCAGCAGCCTTGTTAGTATGGGTAAAAGAATGGATTACCTTGGGTAACAATCGTCTTCTTAAATTAGAAGGTTATGATCTACAACAGGGTTGGCATATGGCCCTCTGGCGAGACAGTAACCCACAAAGCAAATGGTTTACTAGACATTATATAAGAAACATCTTAATTCAAAACTGGGAAAAGATTAGCAAAAAATACTATATTAAAACACCGTGCTGGATATCACCGGTGGAAGCACTGACATATCCCAAAATTTACAATCCGACAAAGAAATTAATATATAAGGAGTTATTGAATGCACAGGGAAATTTAAAATCTAAACAGGAATTGAATTCTCTAGAAATACAAGTGGACTGGTGGACCTATTTACAGATTCAATCTAAATTTAAGAAAGATAGAGATGGGAAAGGCATACATGTGGACCTACAAGAATTAGACAAAATTTTGATGGGACAAGAAAAAGGCATGATTGCAAAAAGTTACAAATTATTAATGAGATTAGAGATAGATGAGGAGATAATCAA